ATTTTTGGGTTTTAGTCATACTTATAGTTATGGAATTCGCTATTAGAGAGTATGTTTGTATTTTATTTCAACTTATGCATACTAGATTTTCAACTAGCCGCAGTTGTTGTGATTTTTTGGGTTTTTTTTCGATTTTTTTGGATTTTTTTTCGTTTTTTCTGAATTTTTCTCCCTTTTTTTGCAACGGAATTTAACGAACAGTTGATAAAAATTAACGAACCGGATTTAACGAAGCGGATGGCATCTTGAATGGCCACCTCTATACTCTATATTTATGCCAGATTGTTCACTTGTCTCTTTAATTTGGTAGGCCCATTTTAACTCCATAATAAAGTAATGAATGTCCCCAGAAATCCCTTAGAACACAAAGACAATCCCTCAGGCCCCCATGGCCATGTCTCAATGCCCAAGGAACCGAGAGAAAACAAACTCTACCCACTTCACCCTAGTGTACCGAGACCCAATAGCTACATGTTGTGTCCTAAAGTTCCCAATGGTCAAATGTTCACAACAGACCAAATCGAATTCCTGTTGTGATATAGTTCATAAATGATATCATCTGATAGCAAAGAAACCTATTGTCTCAATTGAAACCGTTTGATTGAGGGGATAGTATGTTTAATTAAATTGGGACAACTCTATTACATTTTTAGAAAGCGCGAAGTGTGAAGGGTATATTTAGAGTGCAAACTCTATACTATAGATCAGTGGGCACTGATGCTAATGGTGTTACACAGGGAATATCCATAATTTTGAAGTGTGGTGAGCGCTCTTCGATGTTTTGTGCATACATGGACTGTGGAGATCGGTTTCAGAGACCAGTCCTATTTGCTCATGGACCAACGATATGACTAATCGAGTTTTTGAATGTTGGATGCTTACCTAGGATGCTTCCAACTGATTTTCAATCAGGTTGCCTTAAAGATATAGCAAAAAAATAAAGAATTTCAAAGAACAAGTTTACAACAACAAACACACAGGTAGCATTTTGGTGCGCAGCACACGATGGAAGCGTGTGTGTCTACCAAAACTTGGGATCAATATTGCCCTAATTTCAAGTCGCCATAATTTTAAGTCATCACACTTTCAACGTTGGTGAAGCCAACTTCATTGGGAGCCATACCAGCAAGTGGCCTTAGAATTTCTAACGTCCGTGGAAGTTTCACTCCCAAGATTTTAATTGGGAGTGCATGAATTGGTGAGAGTTATCTTGATCAGCAATGGTTTTGTACAATCAAGTCAGGTAACGACCCATTGGTGGGGTGGGATCTTGGTTCAGCCATTGAACCTAGCTGAATGTGCACACAACTACCCATGTGGTATCAATTGACGTGACATTTTCCAAAGTGCTTTGGTCTCAAAAATCTGGCAGAAATATACCATTGTTACTCTAGTATACTAGAGTATATCATAGCTCACTACTTGATCTAGAGATATGTATCTCTTTTTTCACTCCCACCCAATGTACATTGATATGGACAATATTGGGCGGCAGTGAAAACCTCGAAACCATATGTGGCTTGGGCAATCCATCCATGGGTATGAAGTGCATGGAGACAATTGGCGATGGCGCAAGTGCACCTTTGTGATTGGCACTAGTGTCACTCAAAAAAATCACAATATTGTGTGTATGAGTTTTCGACTTCTGGACGGATCATTTAAATAATGCAGGATGCGGGATATTCCCGCGTTCATTGCATTCAGGCAAGTTCCCCTGCATTGAACATGTGAAAGTGTAAAACACAGGTCAAGGATGAGAATACATTAGCCCCTCCTTCTCTTCCATGAGATTCCCTTCTTCTGCGGTGACAAGTACAATGGCGGTCAGTGTGTCCGAAACGAGTCTCGTTCTCAGAACGGATCTTCAGGCAAAAGACAGAGCGACTAATTTCATGCCGTCAGGGAGGGTCAATGTGACTCATTCCCACACGTGATGACCTGGGCACACTCCGAGGCTGTACACACGTGTTGACTGCCCGTAAGATTCTGGCGGTGGTGGGACCCCTGTGGGCTGGTCCCTGGGATCGTTTCGTCCTGTCCCGTCGCGCCAAGAGGCCCCACTCAACCGCGACCGGACTGAGAGCATGGCCACACAAAGCGCCCCACCGCAAGGCACGGCGCCATGCACGGCGGCGTCTCCCTAGGGAAGCGCCTGCGAGGCCGCTGGCTCGAACTCCGACGACTGGCCGGGAGATCCACGCGATTGAAGCTGGCCGCGATTGGCACCGCAGCGGCGCTGCTGTGCTGGCTCATCTACTTGAACACGCACGTGGTTTACACTTCATGCAGAGAAGACCAGCCCCTGGCGGTGGTGCGAGGGGGGTTCATGCCTGATAAGGCGTTTGAGGAGATACGCTCGGCTGCTGCGGGCGACCCGCTCGCGTTGAGGAACGAGCTGAACGAGGACAACTTCAAGTACACGCGGGGTTGGGTGGTGAAGTTCAACCGGGAGGGCCTGGCGCGCGTGCGGGGCAACGACAGCTGGGCGTACGCGGTGAGGTACTTCGACGCGGTGGAGAACCCGGAGGCCAACGCGTTCGTAATGAACCTGCTGGTGGCAGAGCAGCCGCCGGCGGGGGAGGGGGACGCCGTGGGCCCGCACTTCGACGACACGGTGGCAATCTTTTCGGAAAAGGAGCTGCTGGCGCATCAGGTGCGGGGCTCGCTGCGCCGGGGGTGCGGCGCTGGAGGGGGCCGCTGGGAAGGATCGGTGGGGTGTGAAAAGGACGAGGAGTTCGATGACAGGACAAGCAGCCGAAAGAAAAGCAGCGATTGACAAAATTGCGTTGAAATTATGAAAGACATGTATCTTTCACGAGGTTGCCTCGGCCGCTGTTCCGCGGAACAAGAATCCAAGTTCCGTCGCGTCCCTGACGGGTAGTTTGCTGCTTGCAGCGGCTCGCGTTTTAAACCAGTCCGGTGGCAAGCGCTGTAGGATGGAGGGCTGCTGAACAGCAAAAGCGTGTCCTAGTCGCGCTTTTGAGGAGGGCAACACCACGCCGAGAGGGCCGTTGAGAACGTCACAATGACATCGTCATCGTGACTCAAACTCCCCTGACTGTGAAGTGTGGAGGATGCTAGGTGCTAGCTGCGCAAGAGCCACTTTCAAGGAGAGCCATGTGCCCATTTCCCCATTGGGGACTGCAAGCTTGGGCACTATGATCTATCACATTTGTGTGTCATTCGCTCACTGCATTATCGAAGACGCAAGAGAAGGAATGGAAAGCAACTGAACTAAGACTACAAATCCGACCATAACAATGGCTTTTGTGTCACAAATTTTGTCCCATCAGCGTGCATTGTGCCAGACGATATGTTTCTGGTGGGTGTGCACCTGCATGCGAGCACACACACCTACGTTGCATCATTGCTCTTGCATGTCTCTCACTGCATCTCCTGGGGACAACAGAGTCACAGGACCAATGTTTTGACGTGGTTGCTGTCCGAAAAACCTGTTGTTCAACACATTGTCAACCAGTTGTCCTTTCAATAACATCATGAGTATTATTGCTCAGCAAGCAAATACGCAGAGTTTGCCACGGAACTGTGTGGAAGCAGTTTGTATGCCTTTTTATTGTGCAAAACTCTTGTACTGCATGTTTATGGGTGCCTTGATACACGGAGTGCAGCTGCTCCACGCCTCACTCTGTTTCTGATTGCAACGCCCATCCACTACACAGGTTAACGTGCTGTACGTTGGGGTGCCGGAAGACATTGAGGGAGGGCAGTTGGAGGTGTGGCCCTACCAGTACACGGACAGGGAGACTTACAAGACTGTCATACAGCCCCGTGAAAATTCGATGGTGGAATTTCGAGGTGACGCATGCCACCGTGTTCGCAATTTTCAGTCCCCAAGTGGGCAGGCAAGGATGAGCCTCGTTGTGGAACAGTACATTGTCCCCCCAGGGCTGTATGCAAGCACAGCGGAGTTCTGCTTTGCAAATGAGTGCTGGGTATGACTGGCCAGAGCCAGAATGTAATGCATAGAACCTATGCCATCAATGCACTGGCGAATGAGTCTGGTAGAGAACAAAACGTTCTGTGCAGTGGGCTGCTGGCTCCTGAGCATACAGTGGTGGGCAATGCCAGGGCAAAACCGTGGGAGATTAGGACTGATCCCCTGCTGCATCAGGAACGGTGTGCAAGAACGTGCAGCAGTGACAATTGCTCTTTGCACGAGGCCGTCCGGCACACACAATATGCTGACAGGAAGTGGTGGCCATGGGGTTCGAAATCAAATTTGGGATTCAAGAGTGATCAAAGTCACAGCATATTTTGATGACGACGGCCTTGAATGTCATCAATTATGCTGTGACTGTTGGAATCTGGACAATGGATGCAATGCACATGGGATGATACAACAGATAAGACAGGGACAATGACACGAGTTGTGTGCACTCACGCTTGTGTGTTTGCGTTCCTTATTGCATTTTGTTGTTAGCAATATTATGGGGTCAATCACTTTGGTTGTGTGATTGAATCCGAGAATTTGTCATAAAGCCTGTTCAGTTGTACAGCCAGCATTGGCAAAATAGATGTAAGCTTGTTAGGTTGTAAGCAGTGTGTTGCCTGTTGGCTACGTCCGCTGGCATCTGACACTGACACTTCCTGATGCAATAGAAGAAGTGTTCATTGTGATCCACACGCCCCACCTGTGTTGGATCAATGATTCTTGAAGACAAAGAGAAGTGAAACATTGGACGTTTGTCTCCCAAGCAACGGGTTTCGAGATTCCTTTGCATATAGTGACGTTGGAGTTGCATGTGTGGATAATGTCAGGACCTCCCAGGAAGAATGAAATCTTCAGAGCTTGTTTCAAGAATTTGCCCACCCCGTTTACTGCCTTGCAAAGAACGGCGGTCCATTCTGGCCGTCGTCCCCGGAGATAGCGCAGTAAAGTCACCCTCAAGCGGGCAGCTGAGCCATGTCGACAACCTCAGCACCACAGCAGTGGGGGGTGCACTCAACGAACAAGTTTTTCCCCTCGCGCAAACCGGCTCTTGGCGAAGAACTGCTTGTCATGACGATGCCAACGGCCCAAGATAGCAGCGGCGACAGCAAGGGCAAGCTTCAAATGGGTAGCAAAACACCCCACTGCCAGCCAGCCATACAAATGCGCTTGTAGAACCTCTCACAGCTGCCGCTCTGAGCGCCGCAATCGGTCGCAACCGCTCCTCAACGATCGACGAAGTCAAAACGGAGGTCGGGTCCGCGGGTCAGGGCTGCCTCGTCCACAGCACGTTGGCGTATGATACGGGAAGCTCTTCTCTCCGCCTCGGCAAGGCTGTGCCGCGACGAAGGGTGCTCACTTCTGCAGCGAAACCGCGCTGACACTGCTGGTCTTGAGCGGCGAGGAAAGCGGCTCAGAAAAGGCACAGACTAGCCGCGACCTTCGAAAAGGTCGAGCGATATTGCGCTCAGGCCGTGGCGAACGTTGCGCACACGGCCAGGGGAGTCAGGCAGCCAGGCTGAGCGCCTAGGTTGCCACGAGAGACACACATGAACGCCGCACAACCGTTCTTACAGCTGTCAGGCCGAGTGCAACAATACAGAGTTCCCCATCGCACTGTCCGCACCCCTCTGGCAAAATACCACCCATTCCTAAGAGATGCTCTTTTGATACCCAGAATCTTTCTGACACGCCCGCCGCTTCACCACAACTCAACCTAGGATGCCCCACTAGCCACAATCAGCCACCACGTGTGCCCTAAGGGCCACATTCCCACCAAACAACCACCCTTCCTGCGGTCAGCAGCCACGATATACCCCACAGGGCATATTCCCATCAAACAACCACGTAGCGCCTCCACGCGCCCATTCTGGATCCGTCTCGCCACGATCCACGGCTGGCCGCTAGGCGGGCTGCCCCTGAACAAACGCACGTGTCCAGTGGCAACCTGGGTGTTCCTCAGTACTCCCAGTTGTACTCAGGGCATGTATAGAGCACCCCTAATTGATGTTTTGGGGTTTCTGCCTCATTGAGCGCCAACCTAATGGATGATTTTCAGTATGGCGAAGATGTTGAGGCTGTCGACATCCCCTCTGCACCAAATCTGGACCTCGCGGGTCGCCAGCTGTGTGATATCATTATCTTACTAACCTTCTTGATGAGCCCCATTAATTGGCGACCCGAACAGCCTGTAAACTCCTTCGTCCTGGCCTGACAGTTGATCACCAGCCTGTGGAAAAGAAGGGGCCCAAAAGTGATAGAAGAAAGAGATAGCTTGAGAAGAATAGATTAGTGCGGTCGACCGTTCCCACACAGTCGCCACAGTTCCAGGGCCAGCCCTGTCCTGTGGTGCGCACCTCCCCGCATCGCACTCGATTGTTCCAACCGTTGAGACCACCACTTTGACCCCAGTCATGTCGGCAATCACGAAACATTTCACGTGAAGGCCATGTTCGGTCGTGGTCGCTGCAACGCAATCCTGAAATACAGCGCGCCACGGGGCTGTTCACTCCCCTCCTTCGCATCATCACATCGCCACTCCGAATGCCACCGGCATTACCCAACACCCAGTCACATCCTCCTCGTCGTGCGCCACGGCCCCCCCGACAGCGCAGCCGCGCCACACTTCCACCTGGCGCCGCACTACACTGGCGCATGGTACATTACTGTACGCTGCTCCGCTGTCATGCACCCCGGCCTCGAGGCCTCCACACACGCAGTCGTGGGCATCGACCGGACAATTGGAAGGGCTTGCCGCAGCGATGCTGGCCCTGGACAGCAAGGACGTCCGCCGCCTGGCGCTTCGGCTGCGCAGGGACGCCTGCCGCTGCACGCAGTGGCACGTGATTGGATCCATCGCTGCAATCCTCCTCCTGTGGTGGCACTGGCTCTCCGTCACCGAAGTTGTCCACCGCTCCTGCTACCCCGACCAGCCCCTGGCGATCGTCAGGCAGCAGTTCTTGCCCCGGCACGTGTTCTCCGACATACAGACCGCCGCATCGGGAGACGCTCTGGTGGAGACCAACCAGCTGAACGAGGAAAACTTCAAGTACACGCGGGGCTGGTTGATGAAGTTCAACCGGGAGGGCCTGGCGCGCGTGCGCGGCAACGACAGCTGGGCGTACGCGGTGAGGTACTTCGACGCGGTGGAGAACCCGGAGGCCAACGCGTTCGTGATGAACCTGCTGGTGGCGGAGCAGCCGCCGCCCAGCGAGGGGGACGCAGTGGGACCGCACTACGACGACACCATCGACGTCGACGCGCCCGGGCAGTTCATGGCGCACCAGGTGGGTGGGTGGTGCGCGGGAGCGGGTTGGGGGGAGGGGTGGAGAGGGTACGATGTATTGTAAAGAGAAATAACGCAATGGGTAACCTCGCGGAAGGAAGTGTGCGTTAGGCTCTATTCCATACTGTGAGAATATGACGCAGAGGTTCCAGTGCAACTAGAAGAGGGGCTGGGGGTGGGGTGGAGTGGGGTGGGGGGGCGGGGTTGTGGGTGCCGACAGTGCACAATGTCAGCGCGCCGTGGGTCATCCGACGAGGGCTGGACAGGGATTGGGGAATTGAGGATTGGATGAACTGGTCGGGTGTTGGTGGCAGAGGGGGAGCTTAGGTGGAACGGGTAGGGAGGCCAGGAGGCCACCGGAAGCCTTCGAGATCCACAGAATCTGTGTGTGGGAGGAAACCGAGATGGTGGGCGTGTTATGGCACTTCACTTCGGGGTAAGCTGGGGAGCCCTGTGGCATGGGTGGGTGGCACCCAATCTGGCAGGCCCTGGGGGGCTGGCACCCAGTGTGGTGTGAGCTGCTGGTTGGCATATGGATTATTTGATGGCGGTGGCGTGCTAGTGCGTCGTGGGTTGTCGCGCACAGGAACCAGTCAACGATTCCAGCTTCCCAGTCAACTGAACAGCCAACTGCCTGTTTATCCCCGTTGGCTGGTGCACGAGAACGAAACAAGGCTGCCTTATCAACGGACGCAGCGTCTAAGGGAGCATCCATAGTAGACCAAGGCCTGCTGGCCTGACAGTGGGTGAAAGCATTCTCTTGAAGCACAGAGAAGAGCATGATGTGCTGGGCTTGACCAGCTGTGTGCTATCTGTGCACAGTCGCCGTGGCTGCAATATCTCATAAAATGTGCTTCCTGACTGTCCTAATAGTATTTGCATTGTGCGCACCTCCCACACCACCCTTGGTGGCAAATTGCGAGTCCAGCTGCCTGGCCATTTTCAGTGGTTGATCGGTTAATTGGGTCTCTTTTGGGTCGACTTGCTGCCATCTTGAGCCTTCCCCATTGTGTCCTGGGCGTGAAGTTGTTTTAGGGATTGCTTGTTGTTCCGAAGCTGGGAGACAGAAGTTGTGAATCAGAAGTCTAGAATCAGCAAAGCAACCCATGGTGTCCAAGTTGTGCCGTTTACCACACCAATGTGAACACCCTCTTGTTCCTTCTTGTTTCCCCCTCTCTTAATGGCGACTGGTCAAGCCTGCTCTGAGGTACTACCCCGTCACAGTGCTGGGCAGTTGTAAGCAGTTCCAGCCGGCTGTTGTTGTACATCAAAAGAATTTAGGTGTTGCAAATGCCTAGAAAAGTATTGGTGGTGTGCATCACTGACCACTATTGGGCTACCAGAGAAGCAGAATGCTGTGGTGCAAGATGCAATCCATACAGCCCAAATATGTGTCGCAAGAACACTAGTGAACTTTCCTGTTCGTTTATGGCGGATTTCTGTTGGCACCAGAATAACATGTGATTCCAGGTTGTCCACAGTAAGCACATTTACCAGAACAGAGCCACAATTTCCATTTTGCATTGAGTCCTTGTGTATCTTTGTCAGCAGAAACAGAAGCTGACAGTGCTGCAGATCATGACTGACTGCACACCAACGGTGCAAACCAGTATGCAAACTATTGGCACTTGGTCTGCAGGTGAACGTGCTGTACACGAGCGTGCCACAGAAGCTGAGGGGCGGGGAGCTGGAGGTGTGGCCCTACGAGCATGACAACACAGAGCTGGACAAGGCCATTATAACTCCTGCAGAGAACACTATGGTTGAATTTCGAGGGGACGCATGCCACAGGGTGCGGGGCTTCTGGTCACCAAGCGGGGCACGGAGAATAAGTATTGTGGTGGAGCAGTACCGCATCCCTGAGAAGTTGTACAAACATACGCGAGAATTCTGCTTTTCGTCAGAGTGCGATGAGTAGCCAGCAGTGTACGTCTACTGCCCCACGGGATGCGAAGTCAAGAAAAGGGAAGGTGGAGATTGCTGCACAGTCCTAGAAACAAGCAAGAGTGTTGCAGCTTGGGTTTAAAGGTGGCCTTCAGGGCACATAATTGCAGGTTGTCTGAAAGGGATGATGCCCAGCAAATGAGCAGACCAGGATTGATCAGAATGACAGATGAACGACAACATTGGGCACGTGTTTTGGCCTGAAAATGGCACGTTGGTGCTGAGCATACTGGAAGGCTGTCCCATGATGACAACTGCAGCTGGTCCTTGCAGAGAGTTTATCAATTTTTGTCGATGGGAGTTTCCTGGAAGTTGCTGGGCCAAGTTTCAATGGCTGTATTGTGGGGGCAATGGGAAGTTCTCCTGGTTGGCATGTCCTGCTTTGAGACAGCACAAAAGAGTTGGAGGGAACATGTGGTGCCCATGTTCACAGCCCAGAAGGGTGGGTCTAGAAACAGCACCGTGATATTGTTGCTTTGACATGGGTTCTGCACACTGGGTGTTTGCTGATAGGTAGTGGGCACGAGCGTCGTCTGGGATACTAGCAAGGCACCAACAGGCACACCAGCACATCGGGGGATCCATTTTGTCACTGCTCATGAGGGCTTGGACAGATAGTGTAGGATGGAAGTAGAAGCAGTTTCAGGCCACGGGTGTCTGCTGCCTGACTCTTTTTCATTGCAGATGTTTCTTTGCAATAAAGTATTACACAATGTTTCTGCCACTGACACTGCAGCTGAAGCATCGATTCTTGGGTGCCACCACTCGCCCAACCACATTCACAGAAGTCCACAAGGCCAGGATTCCGCCACCCCTGTGGGTGCCTTTTCCAAGCAAAGGAGCAGCACTACATTTTCACGGATTCATCCACCCGAGCTCTAAGCGTTTGGACATTAGACACGAGGTTAGTCGCGATAGCTTTGGCGGCACCATCCAAAGACGCACCAATGAGCGGCCACCTCGAACTTTCTTCTTTAGCCCGCTGGTTACCCGCAGCCGTCGCCGTGCCCCTGGGCCGTTGTTGACCGCATCAGCGCCGTTTTGTGCAACAACCACAATCCCTCATCTGTACTTTAGAACCCAATCCCGCCACCCTACAAGCTCCCCACCACCCGAGGGATGCAGGCAAAATTTGCAGGCAGAGCCCCCGTTTTTTCGAGCCGTTTTCTTTTTTGGCCGGAGTACTGGAGTACACCGGGCCCAATCTCGTGGCGCCAAAGTCCCCGCTGCCATCCATCACATCCTACATTTAACCGCCCTTCCAGTTGCAGTTCCCGCCGTTGTGACCCGTGGCAGCGGCCCCACACGGGACCGCGCCAGCGCCTCGCGGACCTCTCCCCCTGCCACCCACCCCACCCACTCTCCATCTCCTCCCCCTCCCCGGACCACTCGCCATCCAGTCCTTCCGCAGCACATCGCCTCGGCGATTCGGCTCGAGCTCCGCCCGGGGCGCGTTTTCCCGCGCCCCGTGCTGTGACGCAATGGGCATGCTGTTGCGGCACCTGGCGCTGATCGCCGTGCTGTGCTGCCTGGCGGCCGTGGCCGCCAGGGACGCCGACGCGCGATCGAGGGACGAAGCTGTGCTGACCTCGGCCAAGGTGCGGGGCGCGGCCTGGCTCTCTGGTTTTGCGTGCAATCTCTGGCATCCTGGATGGCGACATCGTCGCCTCGGAGCCCGCCGATCGGCCGATTTGTCCTTTGTGCCCCTCTGGGAGCTGCTACGAGGCACCCTGGCGCCTCTCGTGGCACCCCGATCGCGTCGTTCGGCTGGAAGTGAGATGCTGGCGGCAGGGGGGAGGGTTGTTTTGGTTGGCGCGTTTCTGCAAACTTCAGTCGCGTCCCCTCGTAGACGCTGACCAGGCAATCGCCAGGCCGTAAAGCGCACACACTGCGCCCTGGAATGCATTTGACGGCTGAGAGAAACACCTGTGGGCTCGATGTCCAGTCTGTGCAACCCCAACCGCGTCGCCAACCACATCCCAAACCGCGCGTTGTCACACGACGCGAACTCCTCCGCGGCGCCAGTGCTGTCGCCCTGACGCCTCCAGTCGCGCCGGTGCTGTTGCCAGGCCAGTCCTCGGGAGTCCTTCGCGCGCTGGGCGGCGGAGGCGGGCAGACAATATCATCAAGACGCACAGGTGAGCCGCGGACTGGGCGCGGAACGCGCCATGGCGCGCATCCCCGCCCACTCACCCACGGGCCATCGTCCGCTGATCCGATTGCCCGGGCGATTGGCGCGCAGGAATTCGAGCGGCGCTTCAAGATCTGGCTCGACAACCTGGAGTACATCCTGGATTACAACCGGCGGCACAAATCACACTGGGTGAGACATGCCGAGCGGTTCCCGGGAATCTGAGACCGGACGACTGGCCCGTTCGCTTTCCCCAATCGGGTTTCGCCGACGGCAGGATGTGCTTACATTGCCTGCCTGCCGCGTCCACTTGCCTCACGCAATTTGACGACTTTCGGCGGGCCATCACGCGGCACTTCGCGTGTTCGCGGGTAAATCCATCCCCTCCAATCCGGCTTGGGTGAGCGGGGGACGGTCCCCTTGACCACGCGGCTTACCCATCGGGGGTTCATCCGATTGACGTACCCCCTAGCTGACGTCCCGTGCCCTCCTCTTGCTGCCAGCTCGCGCTCAACCGCATGGCCGACAGGAGTGATGACGAGTACAGGCAGCTGCTGGGGACGAGGGTGCCGGAGGAGCGGCTCGTACAGGCGCCGGCCCCGCCCGAAGGCTCGGGCGACGATAGGACCGTGGACGCGATCGACTGGAGGCAGCACGGCGCCGTGACGAAGGTCAAGGACCAGGAGTCGGTGAGTGGGCTCCCGCCGACGATGGCCGCGCATTGTCCCACGCGGACGCCTTTGGCTTGGCTGCAGGACGTTGCCACTGGGCAGGGTCGCGCTGTTGGGCCCTCAAGGGACTGTGTGCTTTGATAATGGTGTGTGTCTGGGGCCAGTGGCCGCGTGTATGGCCAGTCCCCACTGCATGCAAGCTTGCTTCATACTCGGTCGTTCCCCCGTCAGCGCGTCGTCAGAGGGAGTTGGGAGTTGCGGCCGCAGTAGCGCCGTTGTGAGGCTCGTTTATTTCTGGGATTCTGCAAGAATTGCAATGCATTCTTGTTGTGGAATGGGCAGTGGGTAGCCGTGTGTGTCGCGTTGGTACAAGCCATGAACCGCAGCGCATTCAGGCCCTTTTGAACACTGCGAATGCTGCAGGCGATGCATCGGCGCTCTCAGCAACTTGAACTGTGTCGTTGAACAGCCCCTGGCGGGCAATGTTCACTTAAACAGTGGACAAGGCACCATTGCAAACATATGGACAGGGGCCCAAAAGGTGTGGGTGTGGGTGTCTCACACCTTCCACTGCCACTCCCTGCTGATGCATTGAGTGTGTTGCAGTGTGGAGGCTGCTGGGCGTTCTCTGCCACGGGGTCCATGGAGGGCATCAATGCCATCCGCACAGGCAAGCTGCTCTCCCTCAGCGAGCAGGAGCTCATTGACTGTGAGACACAAGACGATGGGTGCCATGGGGGATGGATGGACGATGCCTTCATGTTCGTTGAGAAGAACCATGGCATCACGCTGGAGGACGAGTACCAGTATAAGGGCATTGATGAACAGTGCAACCTGAAAAAGGAGGGTGAGCGATATGTGACCATTGATGGTTACATTGACATTGCCCAGAGTGAGGATGCTGTGCTGAAGGCAGCAGCCAATCAGGTGAGTGGCACCCGCCCTAATCGCTAGTGCCTCTTATTGTGGCAGCTTCCTGCCAAAAGCTGTCCGCCCAGGACTCCGCTGTGCTGAGCTTTGGCATTGCCATCTGGACCTGTTTGTGGGCTGTCTCCAAGGGTGTGTTCTGTGACAGTTATTACAGTCACACCCACTTTTGACAATTTGTGCAAGCTGTGCACATGCCCTCGTGCAGACCACTGCCTTCTCACCTGTAGAACCATGGTCACCAATGATGCTCAGTGGGCGCCACCTGTCAACATTGCATAAGATCACCCTTTGCTTGACACCCCCCTGTGGTCTTTGCAGCCCATCAGCATCGCCATAGACTCAGGCAGCCGCTCCTTCATGTTCTATGGTGGCGGTGTCTACGACGAGCCCTGCGGCACCACCCTAGACCACGGCGTGCTGGCCGTGGGCTACAACATGACCGCCCCTGTGCCGTACTGGATCATCAAAAACTCCTGGGGGCCCGACTGGGGTGAGAAGGGCTACATACGCTTCAAGCATGGTCTGAACAATGGGCAGGGTCAGTGCGGGTTGGCCCTGGCCGCCTCTTATCCAATGAAAACCTCGCCAAACCCCCCGAAGCCAGGTCCCACTCCCCCAGGCCCTACTCCAGGTCCCACCCCTGGGCCCCCGCCACCCCCGCCCGGTCCCACCCCACCACCCCCGCCGCCGCCGCCCGTCCCGTGCGACAGCTTCACAAACTGCCCCGCAGGCAGCACGTGCTGCTGTGAGCTGATGGTCATGAATTTTTGCTTCGAGTGGGGCTGCTGCCCTTATCCAAGCGCCACCTGCTGTGACGATCATGTGGTGAGTGTGCTGGTCATCTTCGATGGGGTTACTCTTTTACTTGTGTGCATTGCGGACGGGGTTGTGGTGCACTTGATACGAATCTGGGTTTGATGTCAGACCTCAACACCTTGTTTCATGCAATGGGGGAAGAGAGGAGAGAGAAAGAGAAGGGTGTGTGTGTGTGAATCATCTTCTCAAGTGCTCTCAGTTGCTTTCACAAGGCCAATCTACCCTAGTTTGCAGCATTTGTTGATTGCGCACTGATGGTGAACCTAATTTTCTTTGCCCTCATGCTTTAATCACAGTTTATTGTCTGTAATTGCATTAGTGATTGACCACATGCTCATCACCACTCGTCCCAAGCTGCCCTTGTCGCCATATCCGCTCTGATCCATTCGCCCACTTTCTTTCCAGCACTGCTGCCCTGCTGACTACCCCGTGTGCGACACGGACAACGGCGACTGCTCCAACCCGATGGCCAATGGTCGCATCCCGTGGGGCACGAAAACCAGCGCCGCGTGGCACTTTCCATGGGCGCAGGGCGCGACCCACAGCGAAGGGGAAGATGCCCAGCCAAGGTCGCGTCCCATGGGTGGCCAGATCGCGACGACATGAGGCGACGAACCTGATCGACGAACCTGGGCGACGAACCTGGGTGACGGAGCGAGACGAGGGCTGGTAACGCCTTGACAGAGGACAATGTGTCATGGTCCAGGAATAAGGGTGGAGCCTACGGTGCCACCTCACTTTTCATTGTTTTCAGAGGGTTTCTCCTGCGCAACGATGTATTTCTTTTGAGGGGATTCTTCGAAGCCTGTTTCCCAGTATAGAGGAGCAATTGTTTTGGGGTACAGGGGCACGAGGGCTGAGTGCCGGGGTGGGACGACTAGTGCTAAGAATTTAGGCGAGGGTGTCTTTAGGAGGTCCTGGGGCTGCGCACTCATGTAACACTAGCCAAGCGCATATGTGAGAGGTAGGGTGGATTCCGCTGGTGCGTTTTCTTGGCACTGCGAGGAGCCCCTGGACGGAGGGCCCGAACACGTGTTTCTTCACTGCAGGTGTGCAGCACTTGTGCGCCGAAGGAAATGCGGACATTGGAGGCCTTGTACAGCACTGTATATTGCAACGATAGTGACTTACTGGCACGTTTCGGGCGCACCAGCCTCCGGGCCATCGGATGGCGGCGCAATCGTGGAAGTGGTCCTTCCTGCGAAATTCAACTTCTTTCCATTCAGGGCTTGGTTCTGAAATATCATTGCATCGACGAACTGCCGCTAACGTGGAGGTGCGCCAAGGTCATGATCGACATCAGGAACACATCAACCAGCGCAATGGCGGATGGACTCTCTCAACTTGTATAAGTAAACGGAACGCTGATGAGCGCGAGAAATGTGGGCGATCCTGATTATTGTGCGCTTGCAACACATTCCAATGGAAGTGCTCCTAAGCATCCAAGCTTCAACGTACACTCCCAGTTCAATGCTGGCTTCTTTTGCAAAGTTGTATATCAGCAGCTGCCACCCTCTCAGAAGCACGCAGCAGAATTCGCTGTTCTTTTTCGAGCCAGAAGAAGCGCGCCTGAAGGATCACCAGCCGAGATGTCTGCAAAGAAATTCCGCAGAGGTGCCTACATACGTGTCCGCACAGAAATAGATCGGTCGGTATCACGTCATCGTGCAGGCGCATTTGATCATGTTCCACGTGGCTTTTGTTGCACATGGGCCAGTGTGCAAGATACGCGCATGTTTGCTGTAGAAGCTTGAGCAAGAGCAGGTGTGGGGCGGGGGCGAGTCGCTCACAACGCCAGAGTTCAGCTCAAATCAGTACCCTTTAACGATAAGCTGCGGAATTATCTCTTCAATTTTGCATTTTCCTCATTTTCTTCGGATATACGTTGATATCCTTGGATGCGAAATGGAATGTGGGCGAGGATATGGACACCTCATATCATGGATACAACAGGGCCGTATCAAGGCCGCCTGAAAGTTTTGGTATATCCCGCAAGCCGTCCCTCCTTATCCAGGATATGGCTAGCATGGCACTTTGCCTCGTTTGTGGTTGCGACTGCGATGGTTATCCTTTTGGGCCATTGTATGCTTTTTTCACTGTCTTATTTCGGAATATGGATTTCAGAGACCACGACTTGGGAGTTCTTCTAGCACAAGCCTCTTTTCGTCCCCTCTCTTTTCGTCCCCTCTCGCAGACAATTTTCACTCTGCTCTTGCTGCTGGACGGCTTGAAGAGGACACCAGACTCTGGAAATGGACACGCTGCGTTTCCAATTTCCTCCTCTCAAATTGTGCTCGCGGTGCTGTGTTCCGGGGCTCCTGTGGAATGGGGCATTGAATACCCCCTTTTGGACAAGTCCCTGGTGGTTAGATTGTTTTAAGAGTGTTTCCTTGCACAGCGAGACTGCACCCTTGTTGTTTTTTAACGAACAGTTGGGATGCAATGTATGGAGTTTCCGTATCTTGGACGTAATGACCCAAGATTCCCGAAGCTGGCAACCCACTGCTCTTCCACCACCCAGTCTAGCAGATAGAAAGTGCGCAACATGCTGAGCCCTATGCCTTAAACTCCTGGGCTTGCGTGTTCATCCTACTTACAAGGATGTGCGACCCAACGCAGCAACACTTTCAGATAGATCACGTTCTGGTCCGCACCTGCGGCCAATACTAGTGTAATTATGTCATAGGGAATGTGGGACAAGCAGAAGATTCATGCTTCCCTGTGGCTTGACGAGAACGAACGAAGCCTCATCTCAGATTTTCGCGCATGCGACCAGGAACGGAGTTGCAGATAATATCATGGCCACTCCTTAGTACAGAGGTGGCCAATTGATTGTGGGATTTTCTGGCGGAGGTGATTTGAGCCAATATTTGTTGCGCCTAGGGCAAATACACCCCACGTGGGCCAAATGGTTACAACACCAAGATGTTGCGCACTCATTTTCAACTAAGGACTTGGAGTCCTTGCGAACCCCAGAAGTACAGTTAGATGGCCATTTCTATTCTGCCCATTTTGGCACCCCGTTTCATGATGGCTTCTCCCTCCCTTCTCCCTGGCTACCTGGTCGGCCCTTCGACCCCACAATAGTGCGCCCCATCCACGTGCGCGCCCACCACGGCGGTCTGTGTCTCGACTCTCCACGTCGAAGTTCGAAACCGACCTCTTCTGGTGAAGGGGGCGGGGATTGCAGCGCGTCAGAGCTTGCTTGGAGTTCGGGTGTGTGTGTGTGTGTGCATCGTCTTTGGGATTGAGATGGCCAATCCTGACGGTGAGACCCTCGCTATATTTGAATCATGTTTGAATGGGCCGGAATCGACGCGTTTCAGGCGAGCGCTCAGCAGCCCTTAGTCGCTCTGGCGGCGCTGAGCGAGTTGAGTTTTGACTGGCCGTGATGGCCCTTTTGTTGCCTGTGGGTGTTACTCATGCTGTTGCTCGGCGCCTAGCCTTGATTTTGCACGCTCGAGAGCGTTCTGCCCCTGGTTTGTGGCATCAGATCTCCAGATCTGTCCGTAACGTCGAAAGCCTCACAATAGTATCGCAGCGCTGCCCATCTGTCTTGTGTGTGGGACACAGCTCTTCACTGGCGCTGAATGCAACCCCCGTGTACATGTACAGATTTGCCTTTATTTTCGACAACGTACGGACATGGACTTTTGCCTGTAATTAGCAAAAAAAATTATTCCGAGGAATTAAGAGCATTTGTGCCCACACCTGGGTTGCATTCCTACAATGGGTGTGCCAGACTTTCATTCAATGGGCAGGAAAAATGCCTGGCCGAGAAACGGTGCTTAAACTAGGTGGATGGCCTTTCCCCTACTTTGGATTTTTGAAGTCGCAGCAAATGCCTGTGGACCTTCAAGATACAGGGGAATAATTCTCACACCCAAGAAGTTCAGATGATTGCATTCTTGCACATGGCAGACCAATGCCTTGTATGGCATTTGGTGATGACGAACCAACAATGCCACAACTGTGTTTGCTTACTATCAGCCTTTGCTCCCCACATTGCAACTGCCACAAGGGTCAAGGAAAGAGACCCAGATTACTGCAATGGTCAAGCACAAGAACACCACTGCAGTGCCTGTTCTAGCATTTTCTATGCTTGCGTTGCTTCTAATGTGTGGGCTGCATGATTGCCTAGAAAGCTTGCTGCTAGACGCTGCAGATTTGGCGATGACGAAATGCATGTGCATGTTCGCCCTCAGGTGGTACTTCTGGGGGCAAGAAGGAGGCATTGGTAGTGGGTGGTTTCCGAATCGAAGGAATTTCTTTAGCAGGACAGGTGAGTTGAGCATTGTTGGCAGATAGGTTGATTATCCATCATTAAGTTCACAGAATTTGTGGCATCAGGTCGCCTGCAGGAATACCTCCTATTTATTTGTGAATATATTTCAGTGATGGTGGTGGTGGGGGGAAACACTGCCATTGCAGGCAAGAGGCGATGATGGGTCCTTTCTCCATCGACAGTCTTCTGAGAATGGGGACCAATTGGTGACCTCCTGAGTTTTCCGCGGCCGGCCTCCTTAGAGACAGTCAAAGGGCATGGTGAGAACCCATATAAACACTTGGTATGCAGATCGCGGATGTGCACATTTAGTAGTGTGGCACGCGAACCAAGGTAGTTGTTGCTTCAGAACTGATCCCCGGTGGCAAAGCCTGGGTACCACAGGCTTCATCTTGTGTGGCTGAAAGTTTTATTGAAAAATTGATGCCACACAGCCATTTGCACCTGTGCTCACACTGAAAGGTGGCTCACCATCGTTGCTAGCCATTGGCATGGTCGCCTACCTGGTTCCACATTCAATGGTATTATCAACAGGTGATGAGGCGCCACCATTGCACCTTCAAATCAGTGATGGGCACTTCGCAATCACGTAGTTTGTTTTCGAAATGTGCATGAGCGACTCACACAGTCTGTTCAACTCAACAGGGTGGTGCAGGGCACCAGACTAGTGTGATGCACACTGGGTGTGGCACATTCCTTACGGTTCTAGTGCTCCCAACGCCACCTTCAAGGTGCAAGGGACTTGGTTTGTCACATCTTCTTGATGAATGTAAGCCATTGGTTCAATGCAGCACTTGAAGACTCACAGATGCACAGTAGATCCAAGTTGTGCTCAGCTGTCACCAACAAGTAGCTTAACTGTTCCAAGCAGGAAACGCAGCATACAGCAAATGTGGAACGTGTTCTGCCCTACAAGGCAGCAAAATTGACATCCCTCATTTGCTGAGCCTTGCTGAGCCTCAGCAATCAGTCTCAGAGTTGTCACACATGGAGAAGCTGATGTCCAACAGCGTCTAACTGCAACGCACAGAACAAAGAGCAGCATCAGCCACAGCAGAACGTTCCTCAGAGTGTCCATGAGCAAGTGCAAGGCACCACATCCATGGAGTGCAAGTGTTTGAAATGTGTACGCGCAAAGCCACAGTGCATCAGGTCGTCCCCCTCTCTGTCCTCTACAGAGCATTGGTCTATGCCGGTTACAATACAGCACACTGCGGTGTACCAGCACACCTTAAGAAAAAGTTTCATATCCTGGACCACATGCTGGATGGACACTCCGTATCCCGGATGTGGACTGTCCGCTTCCAAACGTGCATGTCCCTGCATGTATGTTTCGGACATATCCGGGACATGGAATGATACATTGCTCATATGCTGGTGGCCCGTATCTTCTCTCCGAACTTTAAGTTCTATAACTGATAATCAACGTCGAGAATACGATAGAAGGTGTGGAACCTTTTTCTGATGTATTTTATACCCTTTTTACTTAAGAGGTGCGTGAGAATAAAGCCAGCGTTGGCGTTGGTTTCAGCACCACGACTTTCTTCCGTTTTGACGCTGGTCGTACACTGTGACCGCAATGATGAGCATTTTTCCTATTTCAACATCGTTCACTCAAGAAAGGTTTCTCGAATTTCAAGCTCGAAATTCGAGGAATGCAGACGCCGAAACGCTGTGCATCACACGTATACACACTCTACATTTCTGTGCACATGATTGGAAAATTGTTTTATTTTACGTAAATTGGACGTTTTGTATGGACAGTGCTTCCTTGCGCTTTGGCAGATTACTGGAACAGACTGACATTACGGGTGTATGGTGCAGAACACCAGCGTGGCCCTGCCACAGCTGAAATTGGCCTTTGACATTGGTAGGTGCCCGCAGCGGTCGGTCTACCAACAAACGGTATTCATTTCCCACGGGCACTTGGACCACATTGGGGGTCTCCCTTTCCACGCATCGTCCAGGTCCGTCAAGCCCCTTGAGCACAATGCGCGCATGGTGGCTTTCTTTTTCGCTGGCTGGGATTCTCCATGACGTGATCACGGGACTGCGTTGCGCAACACTCTGTGCACGCTTAGATATTGCTAATCTTCTGGAAGCTGTCATGTTCGCCATGTGTGACGCATTGAGACGGGAAAAAAAGCGTGCAGCTAGTGCAACAATACGTATGTACCATGTATGTAACGTACGACATATGCAACGTACATTACCGGTGATTTGGGCCACTTGCTATCTAAAATTGGCCATATGCACAGTGCCACGACCCGCGTTGTCATAACTTATCGGTAACAAGTGCCCCTGGCTGTCCGAACCACCGTCCTTTTCGGCTTGACGACAATGATTCGCCATGTGCACAGGCGCACGTAATGCATGCACATACCATGTGCCCGCACATTGCCCTGTGCCATGTTGTGCCCTATTCTATGCACCCTGAGCTGGTGCTCTGGCAGCTCCGCCAGGAATGTGCCAAATCTCGTGGCGTCCAATTCTGTTCGAATGACGTCTCCAGGAAGCTGCTGGATCTAACGACCTCCCAATTTGTCGTGCCGGAACACCTGGCAGAGGACCTGGAGCTGATGATGAAGGCGTCTGGCAGCCTCAGCGACAACGTCTTCGTGTACGATGTTCACACACTAAAGGTAGGGAATCGTTCTTCGGTGCAGCAGTACTTTAATACTGCAATGTTGTGAAAATAGCGCAGTGCTATGTTGCCATTGTACAACTACTATCAGGTGTATAAGTCAATCCTGAAAGCGACAGCAAAACTCGGTTGTGTCCACGCGGTTTATGCCGAGTTCCATACGGCACATGCCGGAACATGTTTCCATCATACCATGATAGAAGATTGATTAGCGAATGATGCTCAGTAGTTTGATATGGACACAGCTAGCGACACGGGTTTGTTATGTTGGCGTGCATGTGCTGCATATGTTCCTCACAGGGACGCATCAGCAAGGATATTATAATTCTGCATGATGGTGGATTCCGTTTTGACTTTACATTGTTGGAACTGGGGCCGAAACGAAGCCAGCTGAGTTGTTCCTTGAGAGCATCTTTATCGGTCGCTGCTATTGCACCGGCGGAGCTATCCAGGAACGGTTCTCATTGCCCGCCGTGCCACCTTTCTAAGACGGCATTTGCTGAATAGCACCGGTGCTATTGCTCCACTGCGCGCATCCGCAATGGCGGGTGCTATTCCTATGCCGAATAGCATCACGGCAGCACTACAATGTTCTCCACGAACAGCACCAGGTGCTATTTCGGGGTGCTATTTGGCCTCGAGCGGTGCCATTCGGGCCCAGAATATCACCGCTCGGCGCCGAATAGCATCGACGGTGCTAATGGGGTGCTATTGCTCCCCAACAGGTAATGATGGTTTTTTGACGTGCAATGCTATTTGAATAGCCGAATAGCACCGCCGGGACAATAGCACCCACCGATAAAGATGCTCTGATGGTGAGTTCGGATGCAATTTCTGCGGACTGGCTTCAGGTTGCCCTTTGAGCTGATGCAATGGAAAGGAATGCCGCTCTCTGGGATCCGGTGTCCAGATTGCTCCACGGCCAGCCCCTTTCATGCACGAGGCTGTGAACGGCACCACCATAATACTCGTAGTACTGATAGTACGGTACTAGCACTAAAGGTAGTGTTGATAGTAACATAGACAGTATTGATAGTACAACACTGTACTACTGCTCTAGTAGTATTATTAGGATAGTATCAAAGTAATATTCGTATTAGTATTAGTATTATTATTATCAATATAGCAGTATTAGCAGTACTTCCATCAGAGATGTATACTATAGTATTGATTGCCACCATTCGGAGCTGATACATTGTGCAGTGCGGATTGGGTTATCAGCCCGTAGATACGTTGATTGCTCCATTTGGCTATGATGCCCCGCTTCCAACGTGGAGCAAACGTTCTGAGCGGGCAGCATCCTCATTTGTGCTTCTTCGCACAGGCAGGGGAGGAGTACAAGTTGTCTAATGGACACGTGGCGCGTTGCTTTCCCACAGTGCACACGGTGCCGGCTCAGGTGGGCGCATTCCCATCTATCCAATTCTGCAGAATGTAGCCATTCATTGCAAAATACTTGTTACTGTGTTTGCTTGGGATATCTAGGCGTAATCGAGGTTCCTGAATGGACCAATTAAACCCAATCAGGACTCCAACTGGTCACGACGAATTGATCAGACGCATGGTCGAGAACAAGTCAGCAGCGTAGGTCAAAATGGCATAGAATTTTTTTTCAGGGGTTGAACGGTTTAGTCCATTTAGAATGCACGGTTTAGTCTATACTTGCCGCGCTTTTGCACGCTGAACAGACGACTTTGAAACTTTTGACGCGATTTCGCCAGTTTGAGTTTGCCGCGAACTTGGGGAAAAAAGTATAATACCGAAGGCTGTCTTCGAAGAAATGTATGCCAAACAACGTTATGCCAAGATAACAATGAATTCAATTGTACGGAATGGCGAGCTCTTGGAGGCGGCAAGCACCGAATACAGTCACACGTCTGAAGTGCGACTGAATCAGTGCATCGGGTACATGCAGTCAGAATCGGCTTGTGCTGGGCGAATCGAAGAAAGAAGTATCCTCAGCCAGATGACACGCCCTTAAAGGACACTGCCCTGACTAGAAGTGGGCACTTGAAGCTGCGCACACTCGCGTGCCGCTATTCCTGCTTTGTGGGGCACCGCCCTTTGGACGCAATAGGCACAGCCAACGCGCCGCTGAGTCTAAATTTCACGCACCCTGTTCTGAAAGGGTGACGGGTGGGAATTTCAGCTGATAAATTGAAATTGACTTGATGTGGCAATTTGGAGTTTCAATGCGAGTGCATGTCGCCGATTTAGAGGTCTTGCAGATTTTGAACACCAGAAATTTTATGCTGCAGGGATACGTTGTGTATTCGCGGAGACAGAAATTGAAGCCTGAGTTCCAGGGTAGGGCGGCTTCCGAAATACGAGAAGCAAGACAGGCAGGAGTGCAGATAGCAGACACGGTGGAGGTGAGTTGCGTTTGAGATTCTGAATGGCTTAATGGGCCAGGGCACATTTCTATCAAGCAGATGGGCAGCACCCGAACTCCACCAGAACATTGCGGTCGTGGCGGCCCTTCGGATCTACGAAAATCAGCTTTGAGGATTGACTGCCATCCATCGCCAAAATAGCAAAGGAGCTTAGGCGAATTCTAGCGGAGAAACGCAATGTGGCTGTCCGCCACTTGAATCTCTGACGTGAGCACTGTGTCCTGAGGCCAGCAGAATCAACAGTTCTGTGGGCGATGCTGACAAGAACGGCGTCAACGGGGTGGCCGAAAATTTCAGCGGGATTCTATTCGAGTGTGCGCCGTCATTGGAGCAGGCATGTGCGCGGGTTGGATGTCCTTCTGGTTTTATTGTGTTCGGCATCGTTCCGAATGGGCTGCGTTTGCGGCCTCATGTCCATGATATGACGCGAGCGCCATTATGCCTCATGTGAGTTGCTTCACTACAAGACGATTTTGGGTCAGGTAATGAGATTGGTTCCTAATGCGCTTTGCTGTAGAGCCTTGCGAGTGAGGCGGCAGCATCACATAGTACAGTGTGGCGCGAATGGCAGCATCCGGTGTGATCTCGGGTTGCCTCGATCTCGTTATCGGCCGAATAGATTGATACGCACGACGCTCGCGAGCGCTGAATGTCCGAGAGAGCACAGTGGCCGATAGGGTTGCTTGATTTGAGTGTGCGAATGTTCGCTGGGACTGCACGTGCACAACTGGACAGCCCATTGCAACAACGGACTGCCGAACTATGTCAGCTAAACGTTTGGATGCTGAATGGGTCGACTCGTGTGACTGATGTTCAGAAAAGCCATGCCGCGCTGTGTCCCACTGACGTGCTCACAGCATACCCAAAGTGCTGATCACTCCTGTATTGTTGCTGCCCTCATGACCTATTGCAATTCTCTGTGGTTGAACGCGCCAAACATCATGGAGGCGCACTGCCCCTTTACACGGACTAAGCTGCATTCCAATGGATGTCCATAGGAGACACGCACCCGATGCGATGCCTGTTCGATTCGATAAGATGCGTATTCGGTTCTATTCTATGCTTATTCGCTTCTTCTTTTTTCTGGGTTCGGCAGAATTTTCAGGTCAAGGAGGACTCAACGAAATCTGCAGGCAAAACTTTTGAATAGAGCCTTCCTTTGTCGCCTTTTTTCTCAGCAAAGGGGCAATGCCACATCATAGTTTATGAATAGCATTGAACAGACAACACATGTGACTATTGAAGCCAAATAGAAGGAACAATCCCTTACGGGAAGATTGGACACAAGCTCCTGTCCACAGTACTTGGCCTGGTACACACTAGTCGCGAAGATTCTTTCAATTGTCAGTTGCTCTTGCTAACCGTTTTTTCATTGGAATGACCGGCGTGGCCCAGATCGCCGAGGTGGCCTTCACCGGCGACACCACTGCCGACTTCTTGTCCCTGAGCACCTCCGCCGACGCCCTTAAGGCCAAGCTCCTGATCATGGAGATGACGTACGTTGACGACAGCGTGACAGTGGAGAAAGCAATGGTGCGAATTCTCGGAACTTGTTCCCGCCGCCGGAATTGCGGGCATGGAGAGAGATTTGTTTCAAAATCGAGATCCCTTTGATACATTGACTAACATGTCTCTGCTGTGGTGTTTTATTTAAAGAGTTCTATCCACAGTTTACCAGCTTCACACCCATCCCCTTATTTAATGCAGGCATCGAGAAAGGCAATTTGGTCACTGAAAACGGCTCGAGAGTATGGACCAACGACGGAGTAAAACTCCAGAGGGGAGATGCATAAAATTAGTGTGTTTGTAATCAACACAGAAAGATGGCATCCTTGACCTGTGTTCAAGAGTTGGGGTTTCCTTTGAGCGTCTCCGAATATGTACACATTACGTCGCGTGAGCTCTGACTTTCTTTGGGCTGCGTTCGCAGGATAATGGCCACATGCACATCAACCAGTTTATTGAGCATGCTGACAAATTTGAGGTAGTTGCCGTATTGAAATGTTCAAGGTGCATTGACGAGCGGCATGAACTGAGGGAACGCATTTCCAGATAGAAGTTGTACCGATGACGCAGTCTGACCTGATGATTTTTGGATTCGGTCGCAAAGCCTCAATTCAATGCGTTCAATAGCGATCGCAGGCTCACCAACATCATTGTTCACGTTCAAATTTAGTTACGGGAAGGCTGCATATCTTGACCTGTTCAATGACATTCGCTCTCCCAATCAACTCACAGACACTACTGATAGGAACATGAATGGAACTGCGCCCAATAATGGTTGACGACAAATGTCATTGTGTGTGACTAATCGTTAATGTCATTCTTCTGGGTGAAGCGCGCCCGAGGCAGAAGGGCAAAGTACCTAGCCCTGTACCCACGTTGCGCCAATAAGAGTGTTGATTGGTTGGACGCGACACACCCAACTCACTCCTTTTCTGCATGAACTGGTCAATCGAGAGGGCGGCAAACGCACTTTCGGCGCAGCGCAAGAAGCACGTGCCTGCATGGCTGGACCTTACCCGGCAATTTGCTGTGCCTCCCAGAACGATGCGATTCTACTCATCCACTTCTCCCCGCGCTACACAAGAGATCAAATACTGGCAGCGTTGGACCGCCTGCCGGCCTCGCTCAGGTCCAAGTGCAGCGCCCTGTTGGAGGGTTTTCCGTGATGAAGCCGACCATGCAATCTTGCATTCTTCTTTTTGTTTCGTTGTTTCGACTCGGGTGGGCTTCATCTAGCCCTTGAAACATGGATTTGCCGGCGCCGAGATTCTGGGCCATGCAAAGAATGGCAGCTGAATTGATGGCAGCTGAATCGAATAATGGTGTATATTACTCTCATTAATTGATGTTGTGATGCTTGAAGTCCCGTGCGAGGCAAGGAATGGCTCGCTCTCTGTACCCCTGGCAGTCAAGGATTATGTAACTGCACCGATATCAAATTGGGCAGGAAGTGGCCGGAGCACAGTGCACACTGTGCCTAAAAGACGCGTCGCACATGCTTTTTCATGTCGGAGGCAACCTCATGTCAGACATCGGATATGTTTGGCGGGTTAGTGCCGTCGATGGGGAATCGCCAAGGGGCAGGGTGGCGGACACGATGTGCAGTCTGTTGGTGGTGCCGAGGACAGAATGGTGAGTGGCATAGAGAGGGGTGACCGGAGACAGATGTTCAACTGCGACCAGCAGCTGGCGTTGGAGATCGATGCTTCCAACTGCCAGCCCATGCGCACCCGAATTGACGAGCGGCACGAGGAAGGAGGGGGAGGTTGGCCCAAAAGAAGCGACGGCAGGCAGTGACGAGATCTTGTATGGATTAAATGAGTCCTCTGTAATAGAGGGAAGCAATTTGGGCGACACAACATGATGTTGTCAAGGAAGGACAGATGGTCGACAGGGGCGCCGCCCACTGCTGCGTATGATCATCAAAGTTGGATGGGCTTTTGCAACGCGCGGGTGCTGGATGGCGGTCAGGCTCAATGGCGCAAGCCCTGTTGCTGCATTGGATGGCAACGGAGAGGCGCACCCCAGCAACGTCTACACGGCGGAGCTCAATGCTGTTACAGTCCTTCAGCACTGCCACCATGAAAATAAGGATGGACGCCAAGGCGGTGGTCCACAGATAGCCAAGCGCACCAAATCCAAAATGATGTCTGCCATCTCCGTGCCCTAAACGGCCCCGAACAGCCCAGAACCAAACCAATAGTTATCTAATAGACCCCTTTCGCTGACTTGAGCGCGCCAGCACTGCATTCTCCACCATCGGCACTGCCAGGTCGGCAGGCACCACAAATCAGGGCGCCCGCACGCTCCACGGGAAGTTGCAAAAGCCCTCGAGTGCCCGTCCAAGGGCGCCCAGAACGCGCGCCGCGAGGCCAAACCTTCCCCCCGCGCACAACCGGCGAGGAGCTCCGGCGCCAGGGTACCGATGCTCGCGGCACGGGGCACGGCCGACTCCGCTCTTGGCGAGGCTCCGCGGCCCCCGGGGCCCCGCGTGACGCACGCTGACGTCACGGCCACGGGCGAGGTGGGCGCGGACGCGGGAGGGGATGGGATCGCAAGAAAGGGGAGGGTTGGATGCTTTCTTGTCGAGGTTTTGGCGAACGCGGGGCTGTGGGGGACGAACGCCTTGATCGTGGGTTGAGGAAGGTGGTGGCTGGTTGCTCGTCAGGTGCATGAAAGCGGATTGATCGGGAATCACGGGCGGTTCCCACAGGGGGGAAAGTCTGCTGTGGCGAGGGCCGCGAGGCTGGCCAGCTCCCGTGGGAAGTTGGGGGTGCGTTGCCGGCGCGTTGCATGCAGTTTGAGGCTCTTTAGGGGACTGGAATGTCCGGCGGAGGGCAGTGTTGGCCATTGTACGGGGGGCGAGAGGCGCGGTCGGGTGTCGACATGTTGCGGCGACCCACCCAGCATCGGGCGCGCCTCCCTTTTGCGGACTGCGTTGGGCTGCTGCTGTGCTTTTCCTCCCGTCGCTGGATCCGACAATTGGCTCAGTCACGACTGCGCTCAGCCAGCGCCATTGGAAGGTGGATGGCTGCTGATCTTGGGTGCCTTTTCTGTCCAAAATTTTGCACCGCGTTGAAGATTTCAGGCCCCACCCCGTCCTGGTAGAGTTTCGGAACTTTGCAGCACCTCGCGTGACAGGGCGAGGCCATGCGGGTCGTCAAATGCCCACTGCTCGCAACGTAGGAAAGACCTCGGCGGGGTCGTGGCCCGTCCGTCTGCCGTGGCTCCTGGGCAGAAACACGGCCGGGGAGAATGCAGATGTAACAGCCGCCAACTTTACCCCGTTTCATTATCGAACGCGTATGCAGGGTGACGCAGTGCATCTCAGCTAAGAAATTGACGAAGGGTCCTTTGTCATACCGAAAGTGCCAATCCCAGTTAGCCTTATGTCTCTACCAGGTCTTTGTGGAGGTTTTAGGATCGTCATAATGCGTGCTAGCGTACTGGATGCCAATTGAGGCCGGTTTGGCTCAACAATAGAGTTCATGAAAGCACTGAAATGCACGTTTGCAAGAACGAACGCGAAGGGATGTGCAAGCAGCGACCAGACTGACCTGGGGAAGAAGGTTCCAGAGCGCAAGATGGGTTTTCAGCCAACGTGTTTGCCTTACTGTTGCACAAGTTTTGCTCTTGATTCCAGAACGTCGCATTCCATCAGGGAGCAACATTGTAGAAAAAGCGCACTCCTGTGCAGTTTTTGCCCTAGTCGTATGAGGTCTTGGCTCATCGTATGTCAGTTCTTTGCTCGCTGGCAAATATGCATAGTTCTGTTTGTCTCTTGTATGGGCTTATCCAAATATGTATAATTCTGTTCGCCTTCTTTGGTTGGCCTTATCCGGAGAGCATTGGGATGAATATCTGTAAATGAAATTGTGTTCCCCTCACCTTTGTAAGACTCATGAGCTGTGCCTTTCATTCTTTTCAAGATAGAATCAAAAGATTGGCAAGTCTCAGCTGGCCAAGCAATTTGGCGGTGTCCACCTGGAAGCATGCAGCAATCCACCACAAAAGCCACAGTTTTGCTAGAATTTACAGTGAAATCTCCCTTGAACAACCACAGTGGGCTGGGAAGCACTGAAGTATGTTGTTAACGGCTGCAGGCTTGGGCATACCTACCCTATGAACTTCTGGACAAGATCAATGACCTCATTATGGATCATTGGGGGATGAAGGCAGCCAAGATGTCAAAAGTTGCCCATGGCGTCAACCGTCACTGGCACAGATGGTCAACTCAAAGAGTTGTGCAGCTCCAGCCACACCACGTGTCGCTTCAGCGTATTCTGGAAGTGATGGGCGATCGCTATGTGAACGTGAAGCGCATCACACTGTCTAATTGCTCATATGTCAATGACATGTCCCTATCTACACTCGCCTCCTTTTCATCCATCTCCCACGTGGACTTGGGCAGGTGCCAGTACTTCACACCACAGGGGCTGAAGGCCCTCACGGCCATGACCTGCTTGCAGCAGCTCCGCCTCAACTATTGCAACAACATGAGCGATGGGGGACTGAGTGCCTTGGCTTCGTGCATTTCACTGCAGCACCTTGAGCTAAGGCGGTGCTGCCAGATCACCAACCGGGGGCTGCAATCGCTGATGGGGCTGACAGCGATGACTTACCTGGACCTGAGCGGGTGTCAGAAAATCACGGGCGAGGGGTTGCGCTACCTGAGGGGCATGGTGTCCCTCCGGTGGCTGTACTTGGTGCGCTGCTACAACATCGGGGATAAGGGCTTGAAGCTGCTGCAGGGTATGCCATCGCTCAGCCACCTCGACTTGGGGGGCTGTGACAACATCACGGATGAGGGCTTGAGGGGCCTGAGCAGGATTACATCGCTTCGGGACCTGGACATGGGAAGCGGTGATGATGTAACAGAAGACGGTCTGTGGTGCCTGAGGCACTGTGGACTGACGTCGCTGAGGCAGTCTGGCAGGATGCTCCAGACTTGCAGATACGAGCATGTTTGGAGCTGAACCTTGGAAAGCCTCTGTGTACCGTCACCTAGTTGGATAGGGAAACCTGGGGACCTACAAGGCAAAAAGTGTTCAGGTGGCATGAGGCTCAATTTTCCTGGTTACTGTAGAGAGGTGCAGGTCATACAACGGCACCAGTTCTCGAGACCCTTTTCCTACTGCTGAACACGTTTTTGGAATGGGAGGGTCTGTGCTTGTGGCATCAGCGCATCTGCTGAAGGCATGCAAAGCTAACACGCGACCCGCAAGGCGAGAGGGCGCGGGAGTCCGTTGATGAGCACATGGCAGGATGTTTGCATTGTACCAGTAGTTTTAGAGATGGAGCCTGCCGCTACTCTTAGGTGCTCCGATTGTGACGGGAGGATGCTGCTCTGCCCCTGGCCAGGTAAGAGCTTGCTGCCCTTCCTTGTGCTTGAAAGCGCGTTGCTGTCTTTGACGCCCTTGTATAGGCAGAATAATGGCACGCAAGTTGACCGTGACGGGCCTTGATTTTTTTTCCGAGTGAAGATGTAACATTTGGGTGATATGGGTGGCAACAATGTGCTTCACACTGGTGGCGAAGCAAATACAACCTCTGGGGATCAGCACTTTGCAAGCTGCTGTTTTCCTGGTGTCGACGGTGAATCGGCTGTCATGATGCCACTTGCACAAGCGGAATTGCATGTTGGGGATGCTGTCGACGATTTGGAACGGTGTGAAGCACGTGAAGCCATGCAGCGTTAGCACTGGGAGAATCGAGCTCTGTACAATAGTTAGCTGACTGTATTATGACTGTAAAATTGCTGTACAACTGTCAGCAACGTTTTTGCTGGAGGGCCCTAGCTGTGCGCTGCCCATAAATTAGCCATGAGACAGGCTTTATTTCAGTTTCTAAATCGTGTCGGATTTATGGAAACCATGCTTTGGTAATGTAAGTGTATTATAACGGGCCATTAACAATGTCAGCCGACCCGCACGTGAGATTGAGCCACAGCTAGAAACATCGCCACTGAAGACCCATCTTTCAAAACTGTGTGCGCAAGTGATGAAAATTACTTCCGAGGTAATACTGTTCAGATGCTCAGCATCCATTTTTGAGTTGTTCCGCAATTGTTGCACACAGCTGCGCAGTGGGCCACAGAGCTGCAAAGCACATGAAGTACTATCCCGCATAGGCTGTTGTGGTACATCCATGGCTGGTTAGATATTATGGACATATGCTCTATACAAGGAGAAAGAATATCTAAAAGTAATACATGTGGTTTCTCGATTCCTCAAAAGGCGTCTTTGGACCGCCGACCAAGGCAATTCAAGTGTCAGCACGGGAATTGGGTTTGAATCCACAAACCATCCCTCCAAAACGATGATCCGTGCACGTCAATGGCTCAGGCCCCCGCTACCAGCCTCCTGCAAATTGATGTTTTGCTAGCTACATTAACGCAGCTGATGGTACATCAATAAATGGTCAGCTTCTTTAAATGAACTCTGAACAGAAGCAGTGCATCGATGATCAGGGGTTGCATCCTACTGCTGAAATTGTAGTCAACCCGTTTGTGGGTTCGGTGTTGGAGGCAGGGAGGTTTAGCACAAATTTTGATTTAGGTTAAGGGTACATGGACTACCAATACGAAGCAACATTCCCACCAGGGGACACATGCCCACAGCACCCTACTCGGAGAGCCCGCCACTCACGTAACCCCCACGTCACAGGGGTCGGTTCTTACACAAGAACGCTGAGTCAGACGCTAAAAAATTCATTTGCGGGGCGCTCCAAGTCTCTCCAAGTCGCGTTGCCAGATTATAACACAAGACCCCACAGGCCTGATTCCACGCCAATGGTTTGTCCGACAGGAATCCTCCACCCACTGGACGCGCGATCACCATCAACAAGACAAACTTTCGGGCACGCCTACTCGCCCTTCCGATGAGCGTCGTTCCACTCCCTGACCTTCGGATGCGCCTCCACCCTCCCGCAGACCGCGCATATCTCCTCATAGGCGTCCACCAAGCCCGTCGGTATGCCCTCCAGCGCCCCGTCCCCTCCCCTCATCACCCTGAAGAAGCAGTACACCGACAGGTCCGCCACGGTCATCTCCTCCCCGGCGCAATATTCTGTGCCCCTGCCCCGGATCCTCCGCTCGATCATCTCGAGCCGCCCGGGCAGCGTTTCGGCGGCCAGTGCTCGCCGCATCTCCAGCCTCCTGGCGGCCTCGCGCTCAGCCGTGCTGGGCCCGAAGTCGGCAATCGCATCCTGCACGGCAAAGATGATTTCGTCCGCTCGCATGGCGGCGATCGGATCCCTCGGCAGGAGGCCGGACAGCTTCCCCGCGTAGCGAAGGATGGCGGGCGCCTGGGCCAGCGACTCGCCTCCGACGTCGATCACGGGCAGCTGGGCGAATGGCAGGGAAGGCTTTAGGGCAGCGAAGTCGTTGAGGGTGAGACGCTCGTCTTGGAAGGGGACGCCGCCGATGGAGAGCGCCAGGCGGATGGGCTCAGCCCGGCCCATGAAGTCGAAGTAGGTGAGCCTGAGGGAGGGCGCCATGGGAAGTGGTTGGTGCGCGCACCGAGCTTGCTGCCTCCTGCATGCTTGAGCCTGAAGGCTGTCTACCCTAAGGGTGGAAACTGCAAGGTTCAGGCGTTCGCGGATAGCCATGAGCAAAAAAAAAAAAAAAAAGGGTAATGGGCGCACCTATCGTTCCAAAGGGGCAGGGTGCGCCGGGCAAGAAGATACCTGTGGGACCAAACATCAAGTTGTCGAAAGGAATGCAAGTGCGTGTAGAAAAGGGCTGAAACAAAATGGGAACCCACCAAAAGGACCAGCCCGGCAAATATAGTTAAGACATGCAGGACAGTAATCATAAAGTAAACTGTACATGCAACATAACGGAAAGGGAGCACCGACTTGAGAAGGAGCTCGACAAAAGGGTGCAGATCCCAAAAGCAAGCAATGACCCGCGCTGGTCGCCACAGAAAATGGGGCGACAAAACCAATCAATACAAGAAATCGGCCTGATCCTCACCGTTGAGGTCAAGCCGAGGATCGTATGCCGGGTCGCTGCTACAACTCCCAACAGTAGGTTGTGCTCGCCAGTGGCCAGCTGCAAGGCGCCCACACGGAGCGGCAAGCCGTTGTTGTGCTGTGCGCCTTCCCCGATCGCCTTCCCTCGCCATCATGTTCGTGGGATCGCTGTGGGTGGTGGTGGCGCTCATCGGCGTTCCCCTCGCCACCGCCTCGGACACCCCTCGTTCTGGGCGCCGCCGTGGGCGGGGACGTGGGCGGCGGCGGGGCTCAGCCCCCCCCTCCTCCTGGCCTCGCTCCCCCCTTGCAGATCGCGGCCGCTGGCTGGAGCCATCGTCTGATGAGGAACCGGCTGCCGATGCCCCGCCTGACCTGCGGGCCGTCCCTGCCGTCCGTCCCCTTGGGACGCCCCGTCTTCAATCCATTGCCGTCCGAGTTGATGCTCCCTCGGGAGCTCCTGCGGCACCGACGGGCCTTCCGTCTTCGCCGGTCAGCGGCCCACCATCCGAGCCCTTTCCCTTCCCTACGACCTCTGGACCGGGGGGACCCTCCGAGCCGGCGGGCGCTCACGCTCCATCGGCCACCATAGCCGCTGATCCGCCACCAACCGCGGCCGCCCCCGGCGATCCTTCGACTTTTGCGGCGTCCTACACCTTCCAGGCGGTCTCAGCGCGCCCCCCGGACTCCTCTGGCCCCACGTACAGCTCCCAGAGCCCGGCGCCAACCGTCTTCCGATCGGCTGGCCAAAAGGGCGCGCGTTTGGGCCCCCGGCGACCCGCCGGCGATCCGCCAAGATCAGCAGCCCAGCGCCCTCCCTCAAGCCCTTCACGGGCCCCCTCCGCCGAGCCGGCCGTCCACCAGCGCCCCCCAACACCTCCCGGCTGCCCTCCCGCCCCATCTCTCGCAGGGGGTCACCGCCAAAGTGGCGAATGAGCGCTTGCAGGCCAGCGCCCTACGGCGGGACACCCAACTGCGGCTGGCCGAGGCTGGCGCTCGCTTTCCCGCCACCGGGGGGCCCCCGTCGTCAGCGCCTCGTCCCAGGAAGCCTACGGCCGCCTCATTTCTGCCGCTGCTTTGGAGGCCTGCGCGGCCATCGCTCGCAACCGCGATTGGTGGGCGGCGCGGCCCCATCTCCGTCGGATCAGAGACGATCTATTCACCAGCGCCGAGGACTCGCCCGACTACGACTGGATCCTAGCCCGCGAGGCGGAGACGCCAGCCGCTGGCCCCCCGCGAGCCCCGTCAGCCCGCCCCGCCCCAGCGAGCCAGCCCGCGTCGGCCTACGCCCGGGCGTCTACGTCTGCCTACGATACCGCTGGCGGCCTGCCCCTCCTTCCGCCCGGCTGCGCGGCGGCGTGCCCCACGTCCGGCCCCCAAGGCGCCGTCGACGCCGCCGCTCGGGACTACGCGCGCCTTCGCTCTGATCTGGGGTGGGACCGCCTCCATCCGCCGCGGCGCCCGCGCCGGCGTCGGCCTCCATGGCGGGCGGGGAGGCTCTCCATGGGGCCCTTCCGCCTGCCCAAGCCCTTGCCTCTACCGCCGGCCCTTCTGGCCACGCAGCTGTGCATGCCGGCCGCGGGAGCTTTCCACCTACCCAACCGGGCCCTGTCCCGGCTGGACCCCCCAACCGACTGCGTCCTGACCACCTTGGGGGCGCGGCGATTGCGATTGGTGGCAGTCTGGGCCCCGGGATCCAGCCCCCCCCCGTCCGATCCATCAGATCGGCGGGCAGCCCACCGAGCAGATCACTGCCCCTGCTGGCGGTCCGCGCCTCCCTGGGCACGGCCAGGTCCCCAGCCTGCGCACAGGCCCTGATCCAGGGCAGCCGGGTCGCGATGGGCCCGGGATCGGCCCCACGGCCGCCCCGCAACCCGGCCCCTCCGCGGCCCCTTTGGTGCCACCCCTGGCCGGCCTGGCCGAGCAGCTGCAGGCGGCGGGCCCCACCCCTTTGCAGCCGGGCGATTGGGTTCGGGACCACGCCCAGGGATTGTTTGGAGAACCTGTGGCGGGGCCCCCTGATGCCGTGTCGTGTGCGCTTAAAGGATTGGCGGAATTGGTGGGCGGGACCAAGCTCACCTCCACGCCGTCCGTGTTGGTGGTGGAGGAACGGTACGCGGCACGCGTTCGGGACTGCGATCAGGCCATCCAGGCAGCCAAAGCCGCCGACCAGTTCCAGACTGCCAACCGTCTTCATCATAAGAAGGCTAACTTACACGAGCAGTTCTACGATATTTACAAGCCCCTTCTCAACAAGCTTCATTCACCGCACACCGTCCAGGAGTACTTTCAGGAGGTGACGGCCCTCCAGCGGCCGGGCGACACCCAGATGGCCATGACCGCCATCAGTGCCTTCATCCATTCGCCCGACCCCGCACCACCCGCTGGGCCTCCCCCCGCGGGCCCTCCCGGTTGCGCTTGGTGAGTTTGGTGCCAAGCCATGACCCACTCAGCCAATACCAACCCGGACGTCCGCAAGCTCTTCGCGGCTACCGCAAAGATGTCTACCCCCTCTTCTGGCCCTACTGCCCTACCCTGCTATTACTGCAAGAGGCCCGGCCACCTAATCGCCGACTGCCCCATCCTGCGCTCCAAGACCCCAACCGCAGACGAGCACCCCCCACCTAGCCGCTACGGGGCTGCCGGCCCCCCACCGTCCTCCGCATAGCGGGGTGGCCCCCCGCCCGCACACTACGGGGCGCCCCCGGCCCTTGGTGGCGTGGGCGGAGGGATTGGGGGGGGCATGTCCCCCCCACACGGGGGTGGGAGGGTACCTTCATCACTCAGCCTTGCCCAGTTTCCTGGGGCGGTCGATCTCCTTCCGGCTGGGGCATTCTCCTCGCCTCTCCTGCCGCCCGGCTTGGGGGGTGGTGCTGAGCCAAGCGGGACCCGTGTCGCACCCAGGGCTGGAAGCCTTGTTCTTCTCCCTGCCGGGGGGTCCGCCCAGCCGACCACTTCGCATCAGATCCTGGGACCTACGTCGTCATACACACATGCCGATCAGTGTGGCACAAGATCTTCACCGGCAGCACCTTCGGGCGATCAGCCATTCCGACACCACAGGACGGAGACCCCCCCAGCTACCGCCAGGCGCATCCACGTTCAATCGACGCCCCGCAGTGGCCGGCGCACACGACCCATCCCACGGGCACGCGCCAAGGCAACTGGACCAGCCGAGCTCGCCGACAGGCCCTGATCGAGTGCACCAACCGCAAGGGACAGGGCGCAGGCCCAGCCGCACATCGACCCCATCAGATCCCCGGACAAACGCACCACTAAGCAGCACTGCGTGCGGCTCTCATTAGATACTTTTCCCAGCCAGCAGGACCGCAAGGGGCTGGGATCAGTCGGCCGGGCTGGACGGCGGTGAAGCCATCGACGCAGCCTCGGATGATATCAGAGCAAAGGGCCTGGCATTACCACAGCCAGCCTTGACGCCTGCGGACAATCAGCACATGGGGCATCATGGGAGCTCAGCCACAGCCCCCGAGTCACTGGCAGCTGCACACACAGCCACAGGGGGTACTGTGGCCAGCCCAAGCGGCCAGCCCCTGCGGCCATTCCCACCCAACAAACCGCGGAGGCGATTGCATCTCCCTCGGTGGCCACAGTGCGAGCAGCCACAATGATGCACCCCCCTCCACCGGTCGACGCATCCCATGGGCCAGCGGCCGAGACTACATTACCTGGTGGCGCAGACGCCTTCCAGCCGCCCCGTGGGAACAACGATGATGACTACCGCCCCTCCCGCTCCGAGGCAACCGGCACTGTCGACCAGCCAAGAATTCAGACATCCCGCCCAAGCGGGCTTGCGCGATGCCCCCGCAGCTCGCCGGCGCCGACAAACGGCATGCAGCCCCCCACATGCTGCCGATCAGCGCAGGGCTCCCCACAGCGCCATCCACGGCAGGGCGGGATCGATGGGGGCGGCACATCACCAGCCGGAGGGGGCGGAGGCGCTGCCGATGCCCAAGCTGCAATTGCGCACTCCCGGGCGCGAGCCACCAGCCAGCTGCACCCCCTGCAGCCTCCAGATACAACCCACGGGCCCGGGATCACTCCTGCATTACCTGATGGCACTGACGCTCCCCAGCTGCGCCATCGAGGGCCCGAGGACGACTACTGCTCCTCCATCCTTGCGGCAGCCTGCATACGACGCCAGACAGATTGTCCAGAGTCTTGCAGCTCAGCGCCACCAGATCAGACGCCGATCGCACCTGGCGGCCATCCCCCGCGGCAGCCCATGCCCCACGGACCGCACACCCCGCAGGAGGCGATGGCGTCCCCACCAGACGCCCCCGTGTGGGCAGCCGCGCCGCCGCACTTCCTGCCGCCTGTCATCGCGTCCTGCGGGCCAGCGATCAAGCTTCCATTACCTGGTGGTGCTGACGTCTCCCAGCCCAAGCGTTGGGGGTCCGCTGAAGACTGCCGCCCCGCGGGCTTCAAGGCACCCTGCCACGACTACCATACCGAGGATCAGGTGGCCCGCCCTTGCGGGTCTGGACGCGGGTCCCGCAGCAGCCTTGCACCAACTGATCATACGCTGACAACCGAAAACAGACGATCTGCGCGGGGATCACCCCAGCGCCCACCACGGCTGCGCGGGATCGACGGGGGCGCAGCGGAGCCCGTGCTGC